TCCTGGCTCAGCTCGGGCGCCACAGCCCAGCGCAGAGAGATGCAGCGCCATGATAATCCAGAGCCGCATGGTGTCGATGGCGTCCTTGGGTCATCTCGGGGCCTTCGTAGACGGTCTTTGGCCTTTCGCAGGCCTGCTGTGGATCTACTTCAGCCGATACGTTGGCCTCCCAGAGCTCGATGGCAAAAACTCATGAGCGTCTCAGCGCGTGGCCACATGTTATGGGACCCTAGGAAGGGAAGGAGTTAGGAGGAAGATCGAGGAGAAAGGGGGAGCAGGAGAAGGCGGAAGAATTTGCAGAAATAGGAATGGAAGGGTGAGAAGGCGGAAGACTGAGAGGGAAAAATGAATAGGAGACAAATGACAAGGATCAGGGGGAATAGCACCGACAACTCGTCCGGTGAGTCCTTGCACCAGCAAACAGCACCAAGAGGCGATAACCAATGGACAACTCACTCGGCTGTGGCTGAATTCGGATGTCCCGCTTGAGCCGTCTTGGGGCTGTCTCGGAGCTTGTCCTGGGTACTCTTGGGCCTTCTTGGGGGACGCCAGGGGCTCTCTTGGATGGTGGCTTCCCGAGGCTCTCTTGGGCCGCCTTAGGCTCTCTTGGGGCGCCTGGGGCCTCTCGAGGGCATCCTGGGGGTCTCTTGGGGTCGTCTTGGAGCCCTCTTGGCGCCGTCTTGGGCCTCATGCGGTTTCATTGTTGTCTGGTGCGCGAGACAAAGCTTACGCACCTCAATACACGCACATACTCTTAAATACCAGGAAAGGCATCCAAACAGCCTGTCTGAAGAGCGCTGAGTTGTGCCAGAGGAATGAAGAGATTAGAACGCAAATGAACCAATATTGAAAGAACAAGCTGTAACATAGTGCGGCAGCTGCCAGCAGTATTGCTGTCAATTTCGCAATCCAGCTTCTGCGGCACAAGATGTCAAATCCACTCACGTGCCAGATGAACGAGAAAATGAGCTTGCACTTTAACCAATGCTGGAATATGATGCTGTAATACAATGTGACTACCGCATTCAATACTAAAGTCGACCTCACGATCCAGCTTGTGGGGCGGAGGATATCAGAGCCACTGATGGGGCCCAAAAGCGGCTTATGCCATTCATTATTACAGCTCACGCTGGGAGAATCACGGTGCCTCCTTCTCATTGGGATTTCTCGAGATAGTGCCGCTGCAGGCGCAACCGCAAGCATGGCAGACCCCGACTTCTCGGCACCACTGTACTTGCTCATAACAGCTACGGATTGCCCGCCACTCAATGTTGTCAATGCGCGCTCCCACTTTGGTCGATTATCTCCGGCACGCCCATCTGGACGTTGCACTCGTGGAGAATTGAAATCGTAAAAATGCACCTTGATTTGAGACAACAGCCCCAGGCTGCGAAGCACCCGTGCTACGAACAGGCGCCGGTTGTTCAACGAGAAAATCGGCGAATCTCGGTGGCTGTGTCTACTGAGCTGCTCTAAATTGAGCCCGTGCTGTCTCAACATCGCCAGCGGTATTCTGGTTACCTCCATCGGCGGAAGCGCAGCGTATGTCATCTTCGCAGTCGCGATGGCATCGATTATGCTGTCGAGATCATCCCCATCTTGGAAAGACTCGTTTATTCTGCCATGCGTGAAGAGAATGCACATCGGATCTAAATCCAATACCGTACACTCGTCGTACCATGCTTGTGGATGCAGATATTCGCAAGCGTCTTTGGCACGCTCGCATCCCATCTCATGCTTACAAGGCCTCCGCCTGTGAGGATGTGCTCTACGGCAATCGCTGAAAGGGCAATCGACTCCCTTATGGCAGATTTCGTGAGTTCGCGGATGGGCGAATTTGCAATCGGACCTAAAGCAATCGACGCCAAAGCGACAAACCTTATGATTACCTTGCGGAACTTGTGCTGCTGGCACCCCTCGACGCTGCGGATGTCGAAACTTGCAGTCGGATCGTCGACATCGCTCACCAAACCGGCAATCGACCTGTGAAGGCGGCAAGTTCGGGTCGCGCCTTCCAGGGGGATGCTCGAACCCGCAAGCAGCGGAAGAACAGTCAGTACCATACCGGCATAGCTGCTTGGGCCTCCTCATGGGAGCGTCACCGATTGACGTACGATGGCACTTTACGCCAGATCGGTCAGAGCAACAATCGATTGAGCCAGACCTGGCCTTGTGCACATTTGGCGTGAGTCAGCCAGCTTCAGCCAGAGGCCTGGGCCAAGCTTGAGCTAGAAAGGCTTGGGCAATTTGGACTCCCTCTACGCTGGTCGCAAGGCTGGCTGGGGGCACTCGCGAGTCCCTCTTGAGCTGCCCTGTGGCGATATTGGGGGCCTCATGAGGCGTCTGGGACGCTCTAAAGACAGACAAACTGACAAGGCTTAAATCACCTGGCAACTGATGGGGAAAACCGCGTTTTCCCTCTCAGGGGCCTCTCCTGGGTGCTCTCTTGGACTGCTCTTGGGCGCGTCTTCGCCTCGGAAGCCATCTTGTGGATCTGCCGACCCCTGCTTGCCAGGTCTGAAAATGCGTATGAGACATGTGGCTGTCCCCCTCGCCCTATCCCCCTCCCCCAGGGTCCAAAATCCGTTTAGACGAGGTGGGTGGGGTGGGGGGGGGGCCGAGCTCGTGCGTAAACGGGGCCTCCGGAGCCCCCCAGTAGCCCCGAAACAGCCCAACAGGGCCATGACAGAGCGCCAACACAGTCGAAGAGAGCGCCATGACGGCCCAGGGTAAGTAGCCCCGCGACGATCCAAGATGGCTTCAAGACGGCCCACGAGGCCTCCAACACAGCCCCAAAGCGTCTCCAGAGGATCGCCGAGAGGGCCCCAGGAGGCCCAAGTCATCCCACTCCCTCAGAACAACAAATCAGATGTGTTCAGCACGTTCGCATTCTACGTTTAGACAGCGAGCACGACGGCCCAACTGGCCCCCGAGATCGTCCCAAGGCGGCCCATGATGCCTCCAGGAAGGCCCCAAGACGGCTCAGGAGGGTCCCAAGGCAGCCCCGGGGGCCCCCCAAGACGGCCCAAGCCAGCCACTGGAGGCGGAGGGCCCCTGGAGGGCTTCAGCAAAGCCCAGGAGGGGAAATACGAACTGCCACGTAGAGCCTTCCCCACCAAGATGGCACCTCGAGCTCCCCAGAGGCCCCCGAGGGCCCTCCAACAGGCCCCCAAGAAGCCCCCAGAGGCCCCCACGAGGCTCCAGACAGCCTCCCACATGCCCCCAAGAGTTCTCTGAGAGACCCCAGAGAGGCACTCCCAGAGACCCTTTAGATTCATACAGGAGGCTCCTGACCCAAAATATATTTTCCACGACCGTCCCAACCACTCACTCCCTGTGGGGGTCGGCGGAATGGCGCATGCCACCGGAACCATACTGGGCCGCCTTGGTGGGTCCGCAGCGGGAGAGGAACTCGCCCCCGGGCCCCACGCAGCGGGGCCCGCCCCCTGGGCCCCCAGGTGCGGTAGTTCTCCCGGCCCGGGAGTCCCCGGCCCTGGCCCCCCCGAGATGCACTGGTTTGCACAGCTGTGTCTCAGAGCTCGCCCCTCACCTTCGTCTGTCGTCGCTCGCCGTTCGTCGCTCGCTGCCGTTCGCCCCCCCCCCCCGGGGCCCCTCACCCTGGCCCACGGGGCCCCGCCCTGCCCTCGGCCCCCTCCGGGGCCCTGGCCCCCCCCCTGGCTCCTGGCCGCCCGCAGGCCTCCGCCCTGCCCCGCACCCCTGCTGCGCCAGCCTCAGGCCTCCAGCTCCCCCTGCCTTCCCCTCCGCTCCCCCCCCAGCCCCCCACCTCCCCCGACAGCCGGCGTCGTGCTGCTCTCGCAGCGCGGCTCCCCCCCCAGAGGTCTGCCCCTCCCCCGCCCCCCCCCTCCCCTCCTGGGGGCCGGCGCTTCGCCCAGGAGGAGGAGGAGGAGGAGGAGGAGGAGGAGAGGAGGGGAGGAGGAGGAGGAGGGAGGAGGAGGAGGAGGAGGAGGAGGAGGAGGAGGAGGAGGAGGAGGAGGGCCCCGAGCCAGACCTGAAGAGGCCCACGAGCTTCCGTCCGGATCGCCTCCGCAAGGCGGCGGCGCGAAGGCCCCCGGCCCCCCTATTGGCCCCTGCCTCCCGCCCGTCTCGGCTCGTCCTGGCCCTCGGGCGTCCGCCCTGCCGCTGGGCCCCCTCCCCTCGTGGCCGCGCAAGGCCCTGGGCGCATGCCCGCAGGTGCCTTCCCCCCTCTCCTTGCCCTGCTCCTCGTGCCTCCAGCCGCTGCCTCGTGGTGCAAGGGCGAAGGCACGCGTGTCACTCTGTGCTGGTGCAGCGTGGCCAGCGTGCTGGACATGGGGCATTGCTTGATGGGGGGCGAGGGAGAAGGGAGGGGTGAAGCAGCATGTGCCTCTCGTGCACCTTCGGTGCCCAAGAGGGCCCCTTGAGAGCCCCCTTCCTGCAACCCGCGGTGCCTTTCCATTCATCGCCCCCTCATTACACAACGCCCGGATGAAGCACTCCCAAGCACGACAGGTGTTCTTTACCTGGACGGACGTGTGCTTCACTGCGCCGATGTACCCTTGATATGTGCTGCGGTACGAAGAACCTGTCGATCGCCAGTCGGGGCGGGATACACGACTCGCGCGCTGAACAGGACCAGAACATGTACTGATTGGAGGTTGGGGGCGTGGATGCTTCGTGCTTGCGCGTCCCGCGCGGCCCGCTCGCGAAGCTGCATGTAGGCTGCCGAGGGGATGGACCTTGGCTGCTGCCACACGTGCGCCTTTCCTCTCACACTCCCCCTCTCGTCCTTCCTTCCATCCATGTCTGCTGCTGTTGCGAAGCATCACGCCAATAAAATTGGTGAGCGATGAATCTCGCAATGGCAAGCGCCCTGAAGCCTGCAAAGGGGCGCACTCACCCTAACTCTGTGAGATCATTGAGCAGCGAAGAACTCTCCGATTCAGCCACCAGGGGTCCGCGATCATTCACCCTCTCACGCTCACAGCGTGCGTCACCAACGTATGCAAAGAGGCCGCGGGGACGGTTAAAATCCTGGGGCGCGATGGTGCGCACGGCCGTGCCCGCCGTGGAGATGAGGGCCCCCGAAGAGCTCGACCTGCTCACCTGCCGGAGGCCGTGTGGGCGCCAAGACGCACTTAGTGAATGAGATGGCGGTGAGCTCACTGAAAGCATGCGCGCTGGCTCGCAATGGCACAGGTGCTGTCGGTGAGCAGTCGCTGGGGGCCTTGGAACTGGCGCGAACATCGACACGGGGGCTTGCCTTCACGGGTCGAGCATGATGCTAGACGTTGGTGCTGGTGGTGATCTCCAGGCCACCTGAGGCCCGAATATCACCACCATCGCCGAGATCAGTATCCTCTTCCGTCGGTGGAGGCAACCGCCGACACTGGCGCTGGTGCCAAACCCAGGACGGGGCCAGGACGAGGACACATCCGTCCCAGAGCGTTCCAGAACGCTCTCAGAGTGCTCCGGAACGCACTGCGCAGGCAGCGGCGCTCGATGCATCCTCCAGAGCCGCCGGATCTCAGAGATCCTCGATTTATCCTCGCCGGATGTTGTCCTCGTCCTGCCTTGGACCTAACCCCGAGGCCTCCGAAGTTCGAGCTTGAGTCCTCGGGCCTGACCGCCCTGCGGCCGCAGCCCTCGATCACCCGCGTGGGCCCTGGCAGCACCATGCCGCAGGACCACGCCCTTTGAGCACGGCGCACGCCCGACCGGACGTCACGAGCAGGGCCCAAAGGTGGCAACCCTGAGACCCTGAAAAATTGGATTAGGCGGTTTGTGGCAGTTTTCGGCCTCCGGGGGCTCTCGCCAGGCCTCGCGAGTGTCAAAAAACGATGCGGGACGAAAAACCGGTCCCGGGGAAGTGGTCCGGGGACCTCCTGGGTCCACGCCACCAAGAAATCGGAGCAGCCGGACGTCTGGGAAGGAAGAGCTCTGAGCAGGAACCGACCGCCCAGGCACTCCCACAGGCCTGCCACGGCCTGTGATCAGAACCCCAGCGATCGCACAAGCAAAGCCACGTTCTTAGAACATAACGCCGATGTGCTGAAACAAGACGGCGACCGCCAGAGCGCGGTGGCCTGCGCGCCCGACCCAGGGCGACACAACCGACCCAGATGTTTTGACGTTGCTGACGTGCCGCCCCCGAGACGCACCCCCGGCTTCAGGAGGAGGGGTCATGCTCTTCTGAGGGGCTGACGAAGCCTCGCCTGAGGCGGCGCTCGCACATGCCCTGGCCCCTGTTTGTGCTGGTTCAGGTACAACTGTTCGGGAGATAAGCCGGATGATGCATGATCGAATGTACTCATGTAGGTGGTTGGTTCGACCGGATGATCGAATGACTGACACACGTTAATGTAATGATCGGTCGGTTGATGGTTTGACAAAACGACTAAGTGCTTACTGTTGATTGGAAAGTTTGTGGGCTGATCGCCTGACTGACTGTTTGATTGAACGGTCGCTTGATTAAGTAATTAACTCTTGGGTTGACTGGTTGACTACTTCACTGAGTGGTTCACACGCGGATAAAGCTTTTGGAAGCTGGAAATTAATCCGCAAGGTCCACGCTGCTTTGAAACTCTGCTTGCCCACCCGTGGGTTGAGGCTGTCCGCCTCACAATTGGGCCAGGAAGTTTATGACATGCACTGATCATCGATATCCGAAGTAAGCGGCGCTCTTGCGCTCTAAAATGCAGCCACCCTAGCGCATTGCTTGACAGGCAGTGAGGGACAACGAAGAGGGGGATTGGCTTTGGAGGACACAACGTCCACCTGGAATCGGCGATGCATCGCCGACCGACATGTGCTAGGCCCCCGATCGCGAAACCGCACGATCCTTGGCGGAATGCGCTGTCGGGCCCTTGTCGGCGATCCAGGGGCGATTGGGGGTATTCATTTCCCCCCCTGAGCCTTATGTTGCTCCCATCGCACTTAAGGACCAAGTCCCAGAACTAATTTTTCGAGCATCCCGAAAAGTATCGAAACGGTGTCGAATCAGTATCGCCTCCCAGAGAGCCCGACACGTGCAAACCCGCCAGTTTCGGCACTTTCGTGGTGCTCGAAATTCTGTCTGGTGGTCCAGGCTACAGCAGGTTGGGACATCACAGCCTGGGCCTACACCTTGCGAAATGCTTAAGAAATCATGGGTTAAGAAATTCAGAGTCTCAGAAATTGAATAAAACCCAGAACTTCTGTCAAAATCTGGGGATTCACATTGAAAACTTAAGAATAATCGAGACCCTGGCCGAAAACTTAGGTTTTCTTAAGCATCGCCTGGGGTGTATTCCCCCAACCCGTCGCTCAGGAGGAGTGCGTCTTCGGGGAACCTTCTGCGAGCACATCACGCAAGCGAGGCGAAGGCACTGCAGTTAATCAGGTGGGAACTCCTGCAGGTACAGCCTCGAGAGAGCCATGGAAGGAGCGAGAGCAACCCAATCGTCCACGTCGGACCCACAGAACGATGCATTGATTGACCACCAGGGTAATGCAAAGTAGTGCGAGCTGGACGGAGGCAGGCCAAGAAATCAATGCTAGGTCGGCCAGAGCGGGCCTGGTTGAGCAGTGAGACTGACCGGGGCGGGTTGAATGCAGTTGGCTCGTGTGTGAGGCTCACGCGCATGATGGCCGAGATGGGCTGTCGTGGTTGGGCTGGGCCTCACAGCCGGGGCACACGCTGACATGGATCACCTGTCAGGGAACATGGCGCCACAGTTAGGTCGGGCATGTCCCCTATTCGCGGATTCTGGACGAAAAAAATACAACCAATAAAAAAAACAAAAATGTCGAAAAGATATACAAGACCAATTTTCACTATTTTTGAATATCCCCCCTGTAGAGGGAGAGTCCCCAGACGATGTTTGACTATTTTTGGATATTCCCCCTGTAGAGGGACAGGTCCGACTTAACGCCACAGCCGCCTAACTTGGCACCGGAGCGCGCCGATTCCGTGCATACCAGCGGGGCCCGCTTCGACCCAGAGAGCCCGACAGCACGCAGAGGCCTTACGTCGGGCCTGTCCCTCTACAGGAGGAGCATCCAAAAATAGTAGACAAATAAGAATGGGAAGATTTCTTAAAGTTTGTTTTGGCCATGTTTGGAATATGTTTTGGGAACTTTTGTCTTGTTCGTCCAAACTCCGCCTGTAGGGGGACATGCCCGACCTAACAGAAGCCACCCAAACCCTCACCCTCCTCGCCCTCCCCCTCGAAACTCCCTCCCCCCTGGGGCGCGCCGCCAGCCTGGAGAGAGGATGGAGGATATGCGAGGCGGGGAATTATCCATATCCACCGCCTCGGAACCAACGTCCTTGTGCCCCAGCGGGCCCCCGGGGGCCCGAATATGTCCATATCCACCGCCTGCCGAGTTCCCCAAAACTGATCCTCCAGGCGGTGGTCCTGCATAAATTCCAGCCTCGGAGGACAGGGTCGGACGAAGGGGGGTATAGCAGAGAGGGGGTCAGCGAACTAGCTCACCCAGCTGAGCTCTCCGGGGCCAGAAGCGCCAACACACCGCGGGAGCCGCCCGATGGCGAGGCCGAAACCAGCTCCATGCAGACTTCCTGCGCCCCCCTTTTCCGACCCCTCCATCCCCCCCTCCCCCCCTTTCGTCTGACTGAAGAGGGAGGATGGGGGGAAGCAGCGGGAGGGAAGGGCAGAGGGGGGAGGCAGGGGGAGGGGGGGGGATGGACGAGGGCCTGATGGGGCAGAGAGCAGAGGAGGAAGGAACTGCACAATCAACACAAACGTTCGGATGTTTTCGTGGATTTTTTTGAGGCGGGGTTGGACCACCTCCCTGGCGCGCGAAGCTCGTCAGTGACGGCGCTGGAGCGCCGCCAAGGGGGTCCAGCGCCGATCCAGGGAGCCCGCGCGGACCTCCGAAAGTTTGGGTGGATGCACTCAGATGTCCTCCTGGGCTAGAGGAGGGAGAGGGAGGAGGATGAGGAGGAGGAGGAGGAGGAGGAGGAGAAGGAGGAGGAGGAGCATGAGGAGGAGGAGGAGGAGGAGCATGAGGAGGAGGAGGAGGAGGGAGAGGAAGGAAGGAGGAGAGGCCTGCCCCCCCCTCTGGAGTCGCCATCGTTGCCGGCGCTGTGGCGGGCGCAAGGCCCGAGAAGCACCTGGCGCCGACGGCGGCGGCGGCGGCGCCTCCTCGCCCCCCTCCCCCGTGTCCTCCTCCGCATCTGCCCTCCGTATGTGTCTGCGCCTCCTCCTCTGTCTTTGCCCCGCTCCCCATCCTCATCGTCCTCATCATCCTCATCATCCTCATCATCCTCGTCATCCTCATCATCCTCATCATCATCGCCCTCATCAACCTCCTCATCCTCCTCATCCTCGTCCTCCTCATCCTCCTCATCCTCATCATCATCCTCACCATCATCCTCGTCATCATCCTCATCATAACCGTCGTCCTCATCATCCTCGTCATCCTCATCATCATTCTCTTCATCCTCATTATCCTCATCCTTATCGTCGCCATAATCACCATCATCAGCATTAGCATCATGACCACCACCACCACCATCATCATCAGCATCATCATCAACATCATCATCAGCAGCATCATAGTCATCATAATAATGATGATGATCATCATCATCAGCATCATCATCAATATCATCATCCTCATCATCCTCATCATCATCCTCCTCTTCCTCCCTTCTTCCTCCTCTCAACGGCCAGCCGGGGGGGAAGGGAGGGGGGTCGGGGCCCTCTAAGCAGGCTTGGAAACCCCCCGACTTTCTGAGAAATGTTTTAAGCCTTCCACGAGCACACAGACAACTTATCAGAAGGCCGGAAGGCTTCTAAGAAGCCCTGGCGCCATCTGAGAGGGCCTTATCCTTCTCACTTCCGCTCCTCGCGCGCCGCTGATCCCCAACTCCCTCCTATTATACACCTCCTTCGCCTTCACCTCATTCATCTCGTCCGCCTCCCATGCTCCTTCTCCTTGTCAGAGTGAGGGGGCCGAACGGTCATTCACTGTCCTTGGGTGCGTGACTGAAGTGGGACTCCGCGGTGCGAGTTCGTGTTGTTGTTGTTGTTGTTGGTGTTGTTGTTGGTGCTGTTGTTGGTGCTGTTGTTGGTGTTGGTGTTGTTGTTGTTGTTGCTGCTGCTGCTGTTGTTGTTGTTGTTGTTGTTGGTGGTGCTGTTGTTGTTGTTGTTGTTGAACAATATTTCTTCTTAAGAATAATTATTGTTGGGGCCCCTGGTGCATGGCCCCCCCGCCGCGCCTAGGCCGCAGCCTCATTTTCATCATTTTCGTGAGGAAGTCTCAGGCAAAACGATGTGTACCAGATCCGGTTGTGTTGTTACGATCGGTTTTCCCTTGCAAAAAAAAAAACTAAAGTGGACATTTCTTGTTCTAGCATATCCAAACTTCAAGAATCCCTTGCAACAAAAAAAAAGGTAAAGTGGACATTCGCGCGCGCAAGACGAAACCCTTCCAAAACCTTAGTTTTCGTATCGATTTTAACATAAAAACATCAAAAAACCAATGGTTTTTCAAAAACAAATTGTCAAAATCTCATCCCGCGCGCTCTTGCGGATTCGTAGGAAACCCAACACTTTTTAAACATTTCTGTCAAACGGGCTTTTGCGAGCAACTTTTTCGAACTTCTGCAACAACGGTTGCGCACCTGCCAGGGCCATCATCCCTGTCAAATAATACCATGCGGGACACATTCGTTTTTTCTTCGCGCGCGCACGCCGTCGTCGTCGGCCGCGGGGCCCTGAATAGTAGCCACGGTCGTCCGCATGCCACGAAGTGAAGTGTCCGAACGTCATAGGGCGGGAAGCTGGGTGTGGGTGGTGGCGAAGAGTCGTTTGGAAATTTGGTAGAGCTTGAACCGGCCCCCCCACAAAGTGGGGGTATTGCCCGCCTCCTATGAAAACCCTGGCACTGGTGAGAACGGAGTGTCCCCACGTGCTAGTAATTGTTGTTGAACATTATTTATTCTAAAGAATAATTATTGTTGGGCCCCCTGGTGCGCGCCCCCCCTGCGCCGCCTAGGCCGCAGCTACATTTTCATCATTTTCGTGAGGAAGCCTCAGAAAAGAGGGTGTGTACAGGATCCGGTTGTTTTGTTGTAATCCGCTTTCCCTTGCAAAAAACAATAGAAAATGACATTTCTTGTTCTAATATAATCAAATTTCAAGAATCCCTTGCAAAAAATAAGGTAAAGTGGACATTCGCGCGCGCAAGACGAAATCCTTCCAAAACCTTAGTGTTCGCAGCGATTTTAACATAAAAACATCAAAAAACCAATGGTTTTTCAACAAAAAATTGTCAAAATCTCATCCCGCGCGCTCTTGCGGATTCGTAGGAAACCCAACACTTTTTAAACATTTCTGTCAAACGGGCTTTTGCGAGCAACTTTTTCGAACTTCTGCGACAACGGTTGCGCACCTGCCAGGGCCATCATCCCTGTCAAATAATACCATGCGGGACACATTCGTTTTTTCTTCGCGCGCGCACGCCGTCGTCGTCGGCCGCGGGGCCCTGAATAGTAGCCACGGTCGTCCGCATGCCACGAAGTGAAGTGTCCGAACGTCATAGGGCGGGAAGCTGGGTGTGGGTGGTGGCGAAGAGTCGTTTGGAAATTTGGTAGAGCTTGAACCGGCCCCCCCACAAAGTGGGGGTATTGCCCGCCTCCTATGAAAACCCTGGCACTGGTGAGAACGGAGTGTCCCCACGTGCTAGTAATTGTTGTTGTTGTTGTTGTTGTTGTTGTTGTTGTTGTTGTTGTTGTTGTTGAACATTATTATTCTAAAGAATAATTATTGTTGGGCCCCCTGGTGCGCGCCCCCCCTGCGCCGCCTAGGCCGCAGCCACATTTTCATCATTTTCGTGAGGAAGCCTCAGGTAAAACGATGTGATCAGATCCGGTTGTTTTGTTGTAATCCGTTTTCCCTTGCAAAAAACACTATAAAATGACATTTCTTGTTCTAATATAATCAAATTTCAAGAATCCCTTGCAAAAAATAAGGTAAAGTGGACATTCGCGCGCGCAAGACGAAATCCTTCCAAAAGCTTAGTGTTCGGAGCGATTTTAACATAAAAACATCAAAAAACCAATGGTTTTTCAACAAAAAAATGTCAAAATCTCATCCCGCGCGCTCTTGCGGATTCGTAGGAAACCCAACACTTTTTAAACATTTCTGTCAAACGGGCTTTTGCGAGCAACTTTTTCGAACTTCTGCGACAACGGTTGCGCACCTGCCAGGGCCATCATCCCTGTCAAATAATACCATGCGGGACACATTCGTCTCTCTGTATTATGTATTGTATGGCACAATTGCACCATGCTGGGCACATGCGCGCCCCGAATAAGTGACCAAGTTCTGTGGGTGTGTACCCCACGCCAGTGTAGTAGCCACGGTCGTCCGCACGCCACGAAGTGAAGTGTCCCAACGTCATAGGGCGGGAAGCTGGGTTTGGGTGGTCGCGAAGAGTCGTTTGGATATTTGGTAGAGCTTGTAATGCCCCCCCACGAAGTGGGGGTATTGCCTGGTGTCGTATGAAAACCCTGGCACTGGGGAAAACACCACGCGTTCGGGTAAAATGATTGTTGTTGTTGTTGTTGTTGTTGTTGTTGTTGTTGTTGTTGTTGTTTTGTTTGTTGTTTGTCCTTGTTTGCTGTCGTCGTCCCACCCGCAAACCGCCCCGCGACCCACCCGAGACCCACCCCGCGACCCACCCCGCGACCCACCCGCGACCCACCCGCGACCCACCCGCGACCCACCCCGCGACCCACCCCGCGACCCACCCCACGACCCACCCCGCGACCCACCCGCGACCCAACCGCGACCAACCCGCGACCCATCCCGCGACCCACCCCACGACCCACCCAGCGACCCACCCGCGACCCACCCGCGACCCACCCGCGGCCCACCCCGCGACCCACCCGCGACCCACCCGCGACCCACCCGCGACCCACCCGCGACCCACCCGCGACCCACCCCGCGACCCACCCGCGACCCACCTTCGACCCAAACCACGTTCAAGGTACAAACCACCATTTTCGGCGCCTGCGACGGGTTTTTCTCCATTCCATTCAAGTGGAGAGCCGGCGACCCACCCCGCGACCAACTCGCGACCCAAACCACGTTCAGGGTACAAACCACATGTTTCGGCGCCTGCGGCGGGCATCTTTTGCATTCGTTTCAGGTGGAGAACCCGCGGCCCACCCGCGACCACGTTCAGGATACAAACCAATTTTTTCGGCGCCTGCGGCGGGCATCTTTTGCATTCGTTCCCGGTGGAGAACCCGCGGCCCACCCGCGACCCAAACCACGTTCACTGTACAAGCCAATGTGTTCGGCGCCTGCGGCGGGCTGCTTTTGCAGTCCTTCCAGATGGAGTTGGAGAGCCCGCGACCCACCCGCGACCCAAACCACGTTCACTGAACAAACCAATGCCGCACAAGCGCGGCGGCGGATATTTGCATGCCGTCTGAGCCCGCAACGACCTCTTCCAGCCCCGCGCATCCACACCAGCCCGTCCAGCAACGTTGCCCTGGCGAGTTGCCTTGATCATGCAAGTCGGGAAGCATAAAGTGGAACAAAGGATTGCGTTGCCGTTTTCGTGGGAAAGAGGAGGGGGAGGCAGGAGGAGTAAACAGGGGACGAGGAGGACGTTGAAAAAGAGAGGCTGTAAGGATAATGTGGAAAAGAGGAGGAGGAGGAGGAGGAGGAGGAGGAGGAGGAGGAGGAGGAGGAGCAGGAGGACGAGGAGGGGGAGGAGAGTGAGGAGGGGGAGGAGGAGGACGAGGAGGGGGAGGGGGGGAGAAGGGGGAGGAGGATGATGATGGACGACAATGGGAGGACGATGGTGGAGGCCGATGAGGGGGAGGACGACAGTGGGAGGACGATGATGGAAGGACGAGGGGGGGAGAGGGAGGACGAAGGAGAAAAGGAGGAGGAGGTGGAGGACAAGGTGGATGAGGAGGATGGCGATGACGATGAGGACGAGGACGAGGACGAGGACGAGGAGGAGGAGGAGGGCGCCATCGACAGGAAAAGTGGGGGACACGAGGTCCGCCGGCTCGACGACGCCCGCGTCGCCCGCGCCCACCCCCTCACTCTTATCCGCAATTGCGGGGTCTTACGTAATGATATTATG